TGTGTGTGTGTGTGTGTGTGTGTGTGTGTGTGTGTATATATATATATATCAGTTAAACATCCAAACAGAAACATGTTTTAAAATAAATACTAAAGTCACTTGATGATTAAACAAAAACTATAGAGGATTTAGCATAGCGTTATAAATATTTAATCAATATTACACAACACTCAAGGCGACAAGTACGAGTTGCATGTGTGATTTGAAGATGCGACTGAACTTTAGCAGCCTCCATAAACAAATGAAATTTTATTTAGTCTGACAGAAATTAATCGTTCATGATGTGCAAAGCACCGTTTGACAGTGTGAGGCCTTACTTGGAGAATGTGCGAGACACTTTCTCAGAGTGGCAGTAGACCGTATGAAAAAGCCAGGAGAAGCTGAGGCAAAGCACAGCACCCAGGAAGAACATCCCAAACACAACCTTCTCTTGCAGTGGGGCCATAAAATACATGTTGGGCCGCAGCATGGTTAATGTGCCCAGACACAGGAATAAGATCAGCCCTGAGAAAGACAAAACAGGCGGGAAATATGCAGAATGACTCAGATGAAAATATTTTTGACCATAATGAAAATTTTTATCTGCTGCTAATCAGTTTGTAACGCTCACCTAACAGGTGAGTCCAGATGTTTCCTGTTTCAGTGTGAATTCTGAAGATGCTTCCGAAACAGGCCCGGAAGGATGGCATGGGTGGTCGATGTCCGTGCAGGAGGTAATCATTGTCCTTCAGCCACTCTGGCAGGACATGAAAAGGGATTACTCTCCAGCGCCCCTCCCAGACCTGAAAAACAAGAATAACTTTTGCTCAGAGAGGCATAAATTCTGAGTTTATTGTGAGGGTCTTCAAATAAAACACACAGAAAAATGAAAAACAATACAGGAGTTATATTCAGCATGTTAAAGATTGTGTATGAATTAAAAACAAAAAAACAAAAACCAAATATGGAAACATGTCTGAGAGTTTGAAGGCAAAATTAAACAGACCAATATTATTAAAAAAAAACAACTCTGTAAATGTGTTGTTACAGAACTGTGACCTAGATATGAAAGACATTTTTCAGTACAAAAAAAGAAGTGCTCATCATTGCTCTTGTGTGGACTACTTACTTAATAAATCACAAGAAACTGTGTTCATTAAGAACACTGACATATTCTTAATAAGCCAATTCATTAGTCTTTTTCCCTCAACGAGTTCTGTTTAAGCATTAAAAGACAATTTTGGTTTTTTTGTTTTACCTTATGTACAAACTCCTCCATCTTCTCCATAGCATGGTGAGCCTGTAGCGGTAAGGTCAGAACCTCACCCACCTCATCATCCTCCTCTTCCTCATCAGCAAGCATTGCGGCTCCCTTTAAAGAGGTTATGACACTACTGAAGTTACAGAGAAATAACAGCTTCTTTCTTTGTTGCTTATTCTGAAACAGTCCTACCTCAGGATGGACACTTTTGGATACTCCCTGCCGCGCCCCTCCCTCTTCCAGCAATGGCCCCAGCTCCATCAGCTCAACATCTGGGACCTGGCAGTCCTCAGAGATCCGGCAGTCTGCATCACTGGCAGACCCGTTTCGGCCTGACATAGGGAGACTGCCTGATGATCCACTCACAGTCGATGTATTCTGCTTCAGATGGTATACTTGAATTTCCTCCTGGGGGGCACCAGAATTGCAATCAGCTTTACAATCTAAGTATGTCAACACCTTCATGTAGTCTGACTCCAGTTCTCTTCAGTCCTCGAAACACTCAGTGATTAAAACTACACAACTAAAGACTGCAACAAAAATAATAAACTAATAAAAGAAAAGTAAAAACAACCACAATTAAATAACGAATATCTATGATAAGACTGATATTACGTTATCTACAGACAAAAATGCCTCACAATGCAAATGAGCTAGAATTAATTATGAGATGATAACTGTGGAGGCAAGAGGCCAACAGTATTATTGGCTGATATCTCTGTTGTACAGGATAAAAGACTCATTTCGAAGCACCCAGAGCACAACCGGAAGAAATAAAAATGAACTGCTTTGTCCACGACTTGAATTCGGAATATTTAAAAGAACTAAACAAAGAAAATCAGGATATGTTGTGTTTTGTATTTAGAACGTGACAAGTATGTCAACTAATATGGAGCTCTAGACCAGGGATGTCACCTAAAACCTGGTCTGAAAGGGGATCAGCTTTAAGTAACTGAGAACACAAAAGCAGAGCCTGCCAGTAAGGAGAAAAGAGGTGACTGACTTTAACCTACATATTTAAATAAGCAGCATTTGAATGTAACATGTTAAGTTTACATTTATCAAATGAAGGGTATATCCTATGAACGCTGACTCTGATGTTAAACACTTTTTTTTTGTGCCTGCAGTAAAATAAAGCCATCAGTCCAATTTGCTTCAATTGACCTCATTTGTAAGTGAAGTTTCTGTTTCCATGTTACTGTGTCACTATTAGTAAGCTGCTATATTATATTACTATAAAACATTTAGTATAAATAGTCTGTATTGCCTTGCTTCAGGTTTATGCCTAACTGAGAATAAGCCTTTGTAGACAAACAAAGTGAACAATGAACGCAATCTGTCTGCGATGCCTTGTTTTTTTATTAAAGTTTAACGGTTATTTCTGCACTTCTGATAAACAAAATGTCCACTGTGCTTCAGGAAATGAGCCCCGCTTAACAAAACTGGTTAGAAAAAAATCACTTTATTACAGATAAATGCTGCTGATTTCCTACTTTCACTCTAAATGAAACCTCTTAAGAGGTTCTCAATAACTCATCTATGCCATAAACCCATCTACTTGTCATTTCATAGGGCTTCAACAGCTCAATAATTAGCACTCACGAAGCAATTAATACGTCTAGTACTTCTAAGAAAACAAAGGACATTAATGTGAGCTTCGCATGAAACCCGTGTGTTACTGACCAAAAAAATAACAACAAGGAAACAAAAGAAGTAGCTAAACTTGTTTAGCTGTACGTCTCCGGACAAGTACAGCACGACGGCAATTCTTATTTCAGACAGGATAACGATTTATGTAACCCTAATACTGACTGCACACATAACACATTTAACCATTTTACTGTTTAGCCCAGGCTCCCAGACGGATGTTGATTAACGTTAGCACAGCGTCAGACGAAACAGGGACCACAAAATGTAAACAACACCAAAATACAGAGGATTTGATACAAATTCTCAGTATCAGTACGCTTTCTTACACTTTTTAAAGAGTAAAGCATTAATTGTAACCTTCTCCGACAACGCTTATAATGAGCTGGTCTGAGGTGCTATAATATCAGGTTGCTAACGTTTCCTTTAAGCTAGCGCCGAGCTGTCGCTGAGGAGGGGACAATTTTCAGAGAATTAACTTAATAATAAAAGTATTTACGAATTCATCAGTCTGAAGTATTATCTAGAAGCTTTACTGTCCCAAGATTCTTTATGACAAGTTCATTTAAAGCAGAAAAGTTACCTGGCAGGGTAGCCTTCAAACCAGGAAGGTGAATTATTTACCGACGAGAAACACAATTCTTTCCGGAAGTTGAAATCTCTTTTGTAAGCCGAATCCAGTTCTCCTTCCAAAATAAAAGCATCCATTCGAATGTCGAGAACAAGTCAGACGTCTTCATGAAGTCAGAAAAGGTTTTTAAATTATTACTTTTAGTCAGTGCAATTCCAAAATGACTTAAACAATGTAAAAATATTGTTTTTAAATGTAAATGTTTACAAATGTAAAACAGACAATAGTGCAGACCCCCAGCCCATTACACAATAACTGGTAGGACTGATATGATACATAGGCGAAGGCGTAGTGTTGGAATCTTTGCATTGGCGATTTACATTTCTATAGATGTCTTGGGCATTTACCCAATACATCTGTAAATGATGTTCATCGACTTGTCGATATTTTTGCACAAAATAAGTCCTGATGTCTGCTGATGCGGTCTGCTGCCATAACAGTCAAGAAAATGTTTTTATATGCTCCTGTTGTTGCATATAGCTCTTTTATTGCAATTTTTTAATACTTGTCTACTTGTCTTTTTTAAAATCTAATTTTATCCCACGTCGTCCGTTGACAGTCACCAAACGTGATTTTGTTGCATTTTTTAAAAAAAAATTACAATAAATAATCTTAATCTTAAATCTAAATGATATCAAAATTAATTTACTATCGTGTATAACTATTACACTTTCGTTTCTTCTAATTAGCTTTTGTTTTGAGTTTAGCCATTTATTCGTTTCAGCAATAATTTAACTCTTTATAATTATTCCACTTTGGAAGGATTTTATTATTGTTTGTACAACACTTTTTGAAGCGTTGTGTCAAACACTAAATATAAGGACATTTCTGTATAATTTGTGTGTACAATATTGGTCAGTATCTATTTTTATTTCAATTAACCAAAATTGTAATTTTCAGTTATTGCATCTACAGTAGCAATTTAAAAATCCTAACGTTGCCTCGTTTACCAGTTATCATGTCCACAAATGTGGGTGTCCACGCCGCCTGCCAGGCGGTGATGATAATAACCCATCAGCCTTTTATGACAGAGGGATTAAAAGTAGACTTGTGCAGTTTTCTGGAAACACTAAGAATATACATGGTAATATTTTTTTTTTTACCATCTCAGATATAAAACACCTGCTGTTATGGGTAATGTCTCAAATATTAATGCAAAATTTTCTATTTACAGTTTATCAAATTGGGTTTCTCCCTTCAATGTTAATAATAATTAATGTTAATAGTAATTAATAGTAACTGGTATTCAGATCAATGCTTAACCTGTAAATATTAAAGTGTCCAAAAAGCAAAGAAAAACAAAAACATTCCACTCACATTAATGAGGATGTCTTTAATCATAAATGACTAAGTAGTGTGTTACTTCATCTCACACAGTTTTCTGTATTTGTGAAGTTTATATAAAAATTCTAGCATCAGCACATTTACTCTAAATGTAAAACCATCCCCAAAACACTTAACTTCATAATTAATATTTTGTTAGCTCCTCTTCTTATTTCTCAGTCATATTTTGTATGATCGTATGCCATCCTTGCTCTTTCAAAGGTAAATGGCACAAAAGGCACATGATCAGTTGTGTCCGAGGACGACCAGAGAGTGTGATAGTGAGCCAGCATCTTGAAAATTAATAATTCAAGCAACGATATGGCCATAATTGCGTACATTTACATCAATTTTTTTCTACCTTGACATGTCAGAATGTCTTCAGGAAGTATTTGTATTACAAAGATCCCGTCACAACACACAATATAAGCTAATTAAACTCAACAATACTCAAACAATAATCTTTATTTATCTCCACAGGGAAAACACTTTCACAGATTTCTTTTTAAAACAGCAACATAACACAATAACTCCACTTAAACTACTGTAAATGATAAATAAAAAAGACAGTAAAAAAAGAGACACAAAGGGTAACATGATTGTGGTCTGTTTTTCCTTTTTGTAAACTAGACACCTGATTTGTTTTGCAAACGCTGGTCCATATTTTATTTAATTTCAAGTCTGACTTTTCACAGGTCCAGTGGTGCAAATCACAATAAATTAAGATAAATAGATTACTGTGAGAGACCAGTCAGTGTGTATCTGTAGCTGAATTCGCTCTACATGACTCGGATTCTCAAATATCTATTATTTGAAGTTTGTTTGGTTGAGAGTGGTGGGCTTGGAGTGTTTGTGTCTACCTCAGTGTCAAACTATTACTGCTGCTAACAGAAAGGTTAGTGAGCTGCTCTCTCAGATGCAGGTAAAGGCACGGATGAAGTTCAAAACATTACAATTTGGCACACTAATAGCTGCCAAGCCTCAAGCCTCTGCTCAATTTGCCACCATCCCACATGGATGAGTTAGTGTCTAGTTTCAACTAGCTGATTAAGTCTGTTAGTTCAAGTCAAATGTTTCTGTAGCTGTGCCAGTTGTAACAAGTATAACATTGAGACAAATTTGCCTGCATAAGTATGTGATAAAGAGGTCAAACCTGGGATCTTGAAATAAAGCAGCACAAGTTCAGTAAAACTGTGACTTCATTAATCTCAGGCATCATGATAAAAAAAACAACAACAACAACAACCCAAACACACACTTAAAGGATGTGTTGCTAATTTACATTATTTTGACAGTAGACTCCTTTCCTTCATACAGGTAGAATGAAAATGAGTATATTAGTTTTCCAACTAGCAAACAGCAGAAACTTAGTTTCTCTGTCTGGGGGTACATTTCTCAAAATGATTAATTATTTGGTTTGTTTTAAGCTAGAGATAACCACATCTATGTTACATTAAGGCCGTGCTAACACGTGTATTTTCTTGTTTTAAATACATTTATACATCATGTCCACATTACTGCATTTAAGGCACCATAAAGCATTATTTTTTTAACCCTGTTTAATTCTGCATGTTATAGATGCAGGACGCAAATCCATTGTGTTTTAAAACAAAAACATGTTAGTGTGGATCTAAAGTACCTAAGATAGTTCAATACCAATCTGGCATTATCAATTCATCCCAGATTCATTTCTAATACAACTTTACATCTGACTACACTATGCACATTTTGGTAGCTGATTCTTTGTAGGATCTCATGTCATCTCTTCCTCCATTTTTCATTTTGTTTGATTGCTTCAGATGTGAAGGAATGATAAGAAACCTGCAAGGTTTAATCAATGGATTGACCTAAATTTAGCTGGCTGCTTCATTAATAGTAATTCACTGGCATTCAGATCAATGCTTAACCTATAAATATTAAAATGGCCAAAAAACAAAGAAAATCAAACAAACACTGCACTCACATTTCTGAGGATGTCTGATTTATGGTAACCTGGAAACTATAGTTAGTGCTGTGCCATGTAACATTGTTTTGTAAGACGCTCCAATTTTTTACTCCAGGATAACAAAAACTTTCATGAGAAGTCCTTTTAGAAATAAAAAATTCCTCTATATCAATTTTCTATCTCACTTTGGTATAATGGGAAAATATGCTGCCTTTACATTAACAGAGTTAAGTTTGGCATCCAAGTTTCTTCTCTTTATACTTGGCTGTAAAAGTGAGAGGCGTCCTCTCCAAACCAGCGGCCTTGAGCACCCTCTACAGCTCTGTGGAGAGTTCCTCTCTGAATAACCTGGAAATGATCAACAGAAAGAAAAGATGAACATGTTGAGACGTACGTACAGCAGTGAAAAGCAGCGTATTCTCCCTGTCGCAGCAACACAAAGTAATTGTTCACTTTCACTTCAAACAGCTGCCAGCATTGAAAAACTGAGACAGGTGAACAGTGTTACTGTGTCAGATCATCACAATGCAAACATTTTGTCTGTATCATATCAGCATTTACGTATTGTTCAATTTCTCACTTACTTATGACTCTATTAAAGAAAGCAGAATGAAATGCTTTGAAAACAAGAATAAGCTTAGCTCATTTACCTGCTCATGGTACTGCTGAGTTTGGTAGCAGGGCGACTCTCCGACAAACACGTTTTTCATCCGCACTGCTCCCTGTCTGTCAAGGGAACGAGACCTGGGTGCTCTTTGCTGACTGCGTCTGTGCCACGACTTTAGCTGTTCGTTCACTGCTTGTCGTGGGAGACCATTAGCGTGGCAGTGTGGATGGTCCCAATTTGCTGGCGGGGTGATTCTAATATCAGGAGCAAAAGGCCTCTGTACTCTCTGGTGAGGTACTGCAGTGTCTTTATACCTATAATCATATCTATTCGAGGAACAAGGAGCTTGCTGGGGGAAATAGCTCCGTGGCATATCCATCTCATTGTAGATCAGTTCTTCATTGTAATAGGCTTTTGGAATACCAGGACTGGGCTGCTGCCGGGGATTACGGTAAAAGCCAGCATGCGGGAAAGCTTGAGGTCCATAGCTGCCAACTGGGCTGGGGAGCAGGAATGCAGATGGAAATTGTTTGGGCAAATCACCGGTCAATTCCCGACACGGGGAGCTATTGTAAGAAGGAAACGAGTTTTCAGAGTTGCTGTCCTCAGAGCTAGCATGGCTTCTGTAGTTCAGTGTAGGAGATGGAGTCTCTGGTAAAGTTATTGAGTATTCGGTCAGCCGCCTCCTCGGGCCTCGGGGGCGACCGCGCTCCTTTTCAAATGCAGAGTCAGGAGAGGACAGCCTGTGCAAACCACAATAATTATAACAAACACAATAACAAAGCTACTTTGCAAAGAAACTGCGTGAGGCTTAAATAACTTTAACTATATTCTTAAATAATCCATTCTGTAAAGGAGCACCACACAGGGTGCAATTTCAACATGCAGATGTGTGTGAGGTATAGCTACCTGAGGGAGAGCTGTCTGTGCACTCGCATCTCTGGGGTGGAGGGTGTACTGTTTGACTGGGTGCGACTCAGCTTTAGATGGGAAAGTTGAACAGGCAGAGCCAACTGTGCTAAACAAGCTTCCAAGGGTGGCAAAGACTCAGGTTTGGCTGGGCTGCTGAACACACAACATAGGAGAGTAATTAATTAATATAACAATATATCTTATGAATGGTTAATGTGGGTACTACATGAAGGGTGGACAGTGTGGACATATACACGCACACACACTTTGATAAAAGCATTTTGACATGTCAAACATTGAGTGATTTAATACTGTGGCAAACAGCAATTGTTCCTTTTAGAAATGAAAACAAATAGAAGAATACACATTATCAGGGGCAGGAGTTTCTATATATAATTATGTAAAGAGTTACAGTTGGCTCTGCACACTGACTGCTGCAAAAACAAATGGCAGTATTGACATGTTCTATTTAATTCAGAGCATTAATGGTTGTAGTGAAAAAAAGGTTACTTTTTAAAAATGGCTTCTCTAAAGTAGATGAAGATGACCTGTTTTGAAGTAAAGGAATTTCTTACACTGTTAATGTGTTAATTAACAGTTTCCTTTTAGATTTTAGAAGTGAAAGGATGTTTTTTTGTTTTTTTAAATCTCATTTGGTCGTCGGGTTCTTTGGAAAAAATCCAACTGGATTCCTTCCAAAGAATCCAACGTTCGTTTACATAACATCACAAATCATAATTTGTGTTTCCAATTCCAATCCTCACAACTTGATAAACAGGAAAGGAGTTATAATGGATAGCCTGGGTTACCTCATCTTGACGGACGAGTGCGACTTCTTGCTCTTCTGGTAGGGCTGGTCAAGACTTGACTCGGTCCATGGGGAGTGCTCGATGGGAGGAAGGTCATACGCTGGCCTCGAGGTAAAGCTCAAGTCAACGCTTGGATGGGGAGAGTGACTCAGGTTCAGCTGCAGGGACTGCGGAGTCACACATGGAGAAATGTAGGCGCCATCCACGCAAGACTGCGTGGACAGAGGGAGCAGCTGGGGAGGATCTGTCTCTGCTGGATAAGGGAGTCCTGAAGAAGGCTGTGAAGACTGACTTGTGACTTCTAGGAAAAAACAGAACAAACCCCCCCCCCACAAATGATGCGCATGGTAAAGAATTTTGCATGGATAACATTTATTGTCACCACAGACTCTCTACCTTTGTGAATGACACTATTTAGGAAACATTTGAATTCTCGTGAAGTTTCTGTGGTTAATAAACTCTGTGAGGGATTTAAACCAAAGAAAATGAAAGAAGGAAAAAAGTGCTTTCAAAGAAATAAGCAAAAACCTTACCTTCATCTTGCACAACAGAATCAGATAGAGAGCTGTCATCAGATGTGCCAAGATCTAAAAACAAAACAAAACCGAAAGACACTCAGTATTAAAATTAAACATTTCTATGAAGAGCCGTTATGATTTGAATTGTCACCTTACCTTGTTGCGTAACACTGAGGGCAGGGAGTGGTGATGATCGGCCATGCTCCAGTCGAAGGCTGAAGGCCGTCTCTTGTAGATGCTCGAGTTTCTTCTCCTCTCTTTTGCACTGCTGCAGGCGGCTCTTCCTCACAGACTTGCTCAAGTTTTCCTCTTCACAGAGCTTCCGTGCAGCTTCATATATCTTCATCTGAAGCGCTAGAGAAGCGTCGACTGAACTCAATTTTGAATCCTGCAAAGGTTACGGCAGTTTAGCAGAGAGACAGACAACAACAAGAGGACACTATTCCATTGTGTAGTCTCCAAATTTGGCTTATACCTCTGCTCCTCGAGGGATTTTGAGTTCGTCAAGTTTAAACGCAGCTCCAACGCGGCGGTGAACCTGCGGGGCCTTCTCTCCTGGCTGCAGAGGATAATCTTCTGACAGCCGGCCCGTCAGCTCCTAAACAATATGTAACTAATTAAAATCCAAATGTCCCTAAAGCAACATCTCAGCATGAATGAAAGTTTATTTTTATAAGGATACACAGAAGCTTGGTTAAATGGTCAATCAAAACAAGGCTTCTTTTAAAAATCAACACCGATAAATCTCTTCAGTTTTGTTCCTGGCAGTTTTTTTCCCCCATTCAGTTTACTCAACCATCTCCATGTTGTAGTTCTGAAATGGTGTACAAGTATCTACCTCTTATCTCTTTACATGTTCAGACTTATAGGTGCAGAGACGTGGTTGCACAATTTTGCATTTGCAGAGATTTTCTTTCATAACACATTCTTTGGGTTTCACTTTCCCACTGTATTAAGTACCCATGTCTTCACTGAACCCAGAGAAAAGCAAAGCACTGTTTCCGATTTCATTAAAGATCAGACAAAAGAGGCTCGTACTTTGAGTTACTCAAAGTCAACCGCCTTTACAGACAGACAAAATCTCACGTGTAGCCAATGAGCTTACTTATTCTTTTGTCACCGAGTTCTGGGAGAGGTATCATGACTCTCATTAGTTCGCCTAGAGCATGTCCCAACAGGACTGCCTTGCCCAAGTGTCAGCAGGAAAGAATGATCTGGCCTGGGATTTTACCCCGGAGCACCCATGCACGTCATGAACATGCCTGAATCTGTGTGTCCAGTTGGGAAATTTCTAGATTTCATTTCATAGAAAAGAGAAAAGACTTAACATGAAAAATAACGACGTGAAAAAATAACGACGTGAAAAAAAGTCTCATGCTGGATCCAAACTGAGGCTGAAACTGCTTAAAAGTCTTTAACAGATATAATGCATTCATACACTACAGCCACATTACATGGACTGATTTCTCTCCACGGTCTATCTGAAAGGAAATGGGATAACAGAACAGGTACGATGGATAACGGAGATAACCTTGAAAATGCATTAGTTAGAATTGGTGTTGGCCTTATTCCTTTTAAATGGCCTAAAAGGAAAAGAGTGAATAGCTGAGATGACGTCTCAGTCTCACTGCGGCACTGAACTATTTTGAATGACTCACTTTTGAAATCGGCTAAAATTTCATATCTTTTCCTGTGATTTGAAAATTCTCTGTGATGGACTGGAGACCTGACCAGAGTGTACCAGATCTTGTTTATTTCACCTCACAAATAAACAAAACAAAAACAAAAAAACCAAACCTTTACTGTCATTCAATCACCTGGAACTTTTAGTTCACACTTTAATATTCTCCTGCCTTGATTATTGCAATTCACTTTTCAATTTTGCATCTCTCAGTCCTTCATAGATTATTTCCAACTGGTGCAAAATATAGCAGCTAGGCTGCTAACAAAAACTAGCTGTGATCCTCTAACCAGGGTCTCCTAACTGCCCGTCGCTCTGGTTTTAAAACCAGAGGTGATTGTTGATCAGTTCCAGCTCATCTGCAACCATGTATTAGATAAGTGATTAAAAAGGATGGAAGGGTTGATTTGGAAATGGAGCATGTAAAAACTGCAACCTATGACTGTCCTGTGATTTCGCATTAGCGTCCCATCCTCAGTCACTTTGCATTCATACATATTTGTGCATCCACTTGTTCTACCAATATTGTCATTAAACAAACACAAAATGTCCCTCCTGCAGGTCACTTAACACGAAAACATAACAAGAAAACTGCCCCACCACTTTAATCCTTCATAAATGGAGGGTGAATCATCTGCAGTGTGCTTCCAGTGTGAGCAAAAGCTCTACTTGTGACAGCTTGCTTAATTTCCTAACAATTGTCTTTACTTTGTGTAGATCTACTTAAACCATTAAGACTTTAATGAAGAGATGAATTAGATGTGACTCATTTGTTCTGTGACATGTTTCATTGTGATATGCAGCCTCGCCAGGTTTTAAACGGTTGATCTGTGGATGACCAGTGGAGTAAGCGTTACTTACAGCTTCTCGGATGCACAGTTTCCTCAGCTCATGTATGCACATCTCTAACTTCTCTTGGAGCTCCTGGTGTTTGATCTTTATGGCCCGTGTGTGTGTGGTCACATCCTTTGTGTGGGTTGTTGGGCTGTCAGACCCTGCAATAGCAAAGGAGCATATGAACAAATCTGAGATGATGTGACATTCATGTATTTCTTTATTTAAATACATAATAAATACAAAATATATTATATTTGATGCATGTGTTTTTGGGACCTCAGCATCATCGATGTGATTTTTCCCCCCAGAAAAATCTGAGATATATTTAATTTCTTTTTTTTTTTTTTTTAGAAAAATGTGTTAAAAGGTTCAATAAACACTCCACTTTCAAAGAAAAATAATTTTCTGTCAGTTACTTGATGGTTAAGACTTTACAAGGTAAAGCAAAAGCAAAAATCTCCAATGACACTTAAATCCAAAAGAAAAAAAAAGTAATTAAAAGCACCTGTGACAACTGTAACTTAAGCAGAAACTCAGTGATGATTGTCATTGTGTATCAGCAAGATGACAGAAACACTACCAAGAACACCAGAGAAAAATTAGATTTGAAATTTTAGACCGAGATTTGAAATCTTAACAGCGGTTACACAACATGTACAATAATTACACACATATGCAGGGAGAGGAATAGTAAACTTCAGAGCTAAAGAAACATCTAAGCATGCTACTGTCCAACTCCAATGGAGGTCAAACAGGGACAGCCATAAGATTCACAGCCTGATGAGTCAGCCTCCAACTTTTAAAACATCTTGAATTTAATTTCATAAAATGTGGTGGGCCTGTGACCCCAAAACGGAATAACAGCAGAAAATGAATGGATGGATGGATGGATGGCTAAAGAACTCAAATAAACCTGTCCAAATAAACTAAAGGAAAATAGATGAAAAGCAGTGAATCCTCTAAAACACACAATATTTAATTATCTTCACCTGATATTTGACATCACTCATGAAGGTAAATACAAAAAACAGTCAGCTCTTCTTAAAGATACCAAAGCACATACACGTTGCTGGTTCATTGGCTGAACCATGATAAATTTGATTCGATTTCAAAGAAGAGTCCTGCAACAACTCCCGCCTTTGTGAAGCTTAGCATGCTCAGTTTCTGTTGACATTGTGTTGCAGATGTGTGGTTTCAGCACCATCCTCATTTTGCTTCTGAAATGTGTTGTGCTAAAGTGACAACTCTGTGTGCACAAAAATGCCTGGATCTTAAAAGAAATTCACCACAAAAACAAGAAACTGATTAAAGACACTAAAAATCATTCAATGTCATACTTACAGAGAAGTCAGACTACTATGGAGATACAAATTCAATTGTACTCACATATTTTATCTGTACTGTGCCGTTTAAATCTAGTTTTTTTCCTGGTGTGTATATAAAAGGGTTGTTTATGATGTATACTTTTATGTCTGTAAATCTATTCAGTCATATCATTGAAGCAGATTAACAATGGAGGCCACTGAAACTAAAAGCAACAATAACAGTGGACAGAAGAACGAATCCTTTGTTTTATCTGCTGTTTTAATTAGTAACACTGAAGAAAAATAACCGTCAGCTTCTCTGTAACTATAAACAACGCGAGCGTTCGACTGGTGCTGTCTGTAGCCTTGGTGACTAATGCCATTAGGTCTCCGGCTTATGGGAGTGGTTTCAGGCACCATCCATTAAGCACCACATACCTTCAGAGATTATTAACAGAATCCCTGCAGGTACTGACAAACATATGAGGCGCGACAGGAGAAAAAAAAAGAAAAAAGAGTGACAGCAGTACAATAGGCTGAGAAATTCCTCTTCCTCACAGTCATAATCACCCTATTCTTTCTGGTGTGACATTTTTTCATTGTATAGAACAAAGATCATGCGGCTCAATTAGGGCGTGAGGAATTTCAGAGGGGCCACAGCAAATCAGCAGAAACTAATGTGTGTGCAAAAACAAAACAGCTAATGTTTGCCGTTAATTATATGATACTGTGAGGAAGATAACTAAAGTGGAGAGGCAACTTTACTGACACCCTGAAGTAAACTGTGGCAATCCTCCCCCCAAAAATGACAGAATACAAAGACCCGCATGTTTACCAGGGCTGAACTTAAAATGCCCAGTTGCGCCTTTGGGCAGGCAAATTGTTTAACCTCTTCCACCCTGCATTTGTGACCAACAAGCAACTCGCCCTGCTCTGCTATGATCAGTATGTGCGCTGCATTGTTGGACTTCATTCCTACTGCACCAAATTCATGAAAGCTGTAGCTGGATATTTATTAAAGTTGTTCAATAACAAAAATGTCTATTTACTCACTGTTACAAGATATTATTAGATCTTGACAAGTGAAAATGTTTTTACATCTCATTATGTCCTCCTAAGGGGCATTACTCATATTTCAAAACTCACAAAGTTGTTTGAATTGACCCTAAAGTTATGGAACTGTAACAACTGAAATAAGATGCTTTCATGTGTAAATAAAACAAAAAAGTGGTTATAGAGTTAGGCAGACATAACCTCTTTTAGCTATTTCTCATCTCTGTTTACATCTCTGAATACAATGGCTACTACAAGCATACCGTCCAAATTTCTGACCCAAGTGTCAGCAGCGGTTGCATTGCGTAGGTTGTAGGCAGCAAAAGGTTTCCATGAATGGGAAGAATGAAAACTATGGTCTCTGCTGCACTGATTTCATCCTGTTGTTTGTTTAACTTGGTAGATAACATCTACCTGACCTTGAATGGGAAGGAATGACTTCTTAAAAGTGAAAAGTTAGTGGAGATTATTTTATCGAGAACATAACTGATTTTTCTGCTACCAGGGTTTAACTCCATGTTTGGGTGAATTCTGTTATTTTCTAAAAGGATACTGTTTTGCTAAGTCAGCAGTGATCTCAAGAAATCATCGACACTGTTGCTTAAAAATACAATATACTTTAGGTTTTACTAAGAGTGACTTGAAAGTATGTGCTGTGATAAATTTATCTGGTTTGATGTGTTTGCTCAGTTTCAGCACTCGTTTACGGCAAAAGCAAGGCTTTACTGGGAAAAATGACTTTATGCTTTACAGGTCAGATGTGGGTTTCAATGCCGAAATAGTCTATTACCATTTTAATAATTGACACACTGCATGGGAAAAACCAAGCAAAGACGCAGATGAGAATCATTGCAATGATGCAATCAAGAACAACCGTACTTTCCAGTAGTTACAGTGTTGATCTTATTTTAACTGTCTGCAATACAGGGTGTATCAAAAGAATCTTCCGAAGTGCTTTAATTCTGCATCCGTTCACTGGTAATGATCGAAACACACCGTTAAAAAGAGGGGATTCATGGAGTTTGCATGGACATAGATTGACATAGATCCTGACCTTGTATGTCAAACAAAGTTTACTCCATCTTACTGCAAAGGTCCATTACCTTTGAAATCAGATGATTCTTTTTGCATTTCTCAATACCCCCCCCCGCCAAAAAAAAAAGTAGTTTACTGCCGTATAAATTGCAAACGAAGCACTCTTGTGTTACAGGTCCTCGCCCAGCAAACTGGACATGAGGGGAACATCAGTGCTCAGTGTAGTCACACACATGTAGGAGTACGACCTGACTAGTTCATAGGTGTCAAACTCTGGCCCGCGGGCCAAATTTGGCCCGCAGCCTAATTACATTTGGCCCGCGAAGCCAAACCAAATTACTATCAGAGCTGGCCTACTGGTATTATACAGCTAATATATATATTGTTTAGTATTAAGCTTTGCTTGTTCCATATTCAGTTTTTCAGCAAAACGTGTTTGAGTCCATAAGAAAAGATTCATTCTTATATCTGGAGGAATAAATATATTTCAATAAATATTAACGTTAGCCCGCGACTTTGTTCCAGTTTTGAGTTTTGGCCCACTGTGTATTTGAGTTTGACACCCCTGGACTAGTTAGTCAGTTAGTGAGGCCGATGACTTTTCAGTCTTCAGCCTGTGGAAATAAAGCTGTGTGGATTGTAATTGACTGATAGTTTTGTATATTTTTAAGTATTCGCATTGTTACTAAGCCACAATATTTCAAAGAATGGACACGGTTTGACATCTTCAAGTAAAAAAAAAAAAAAACCAAGTGAAAAACTAAAAGACAACAAAGAGTCATTACTGAAATTAGTTTCTTTGCATGTTAGTATAAATGTTTTGAAATGCGAGGAAACAAAAAAAAAAAAGGTGAAGAAATTAAAAGTGGTCTTTCAGCTTTTTCATGCTGAGTTACAACTGTCATCTCTGTCTAGCACTTAACTCTACTTCCTACTTTCACATTAATGAAAGCATTTGAGGTTGTTAAAGTTGCCCAGTTTGTTCCTCCTGCCTGTAGCTGTTCTATACTGACACAGACTCAGGGGAACAGTTTGAAATCTCACCTCTATATCAAATGTAATGATCATATTGCAGTGTGCAATGATTAGAGTGCATAGTTTTTTTTACTAAGCGTGCTATGACATTTAAAAATAAATAAATGCTGAAACACTGATTTTTTGTTTGTTTTTACCTGAATGAAGAATGATGCCGCTGTCAGTGTCGCTGATCTCCCCGTTCCCCTCCATGTCAGTAGATGGTCTTCCTGTTCCTGTTCTTCAGTGGAGGCAAAAGATAATGTCACATACCATGTCCTTCTGTTACGCAAGTAAGAATTTCATTTTCATTTAATTTAAAGTGACAGCCTCTTTTTTTCTTTTTCTTTTTAGTGTCATAGCCCTGAATTGGACAAGGCAAGTGTTGGCAAATTTGATACAGAATTTGGGAGTTTATTCACAAAGCCTGCGACCTAAGATAATCCAACAGCAAGGAGAAAAAACTGAGAATAATCCTAAATAACTAGACATTATGCTTCAAATAAAACCAATAGCGTAATTAAAAACAAACAAACAAAAAAACTAAAACCAAGGAAAACATCACTAACACACAAGCTTCGCAAAGACTGCCCATTACGTAATCTGTGACCTGTTACTTAAGTGATTCAGGTGTGACTTGCCTCTTTGAACTCTTAGACAGGTGTAGTCACAGTCTTCCACAGCACACGTTTGTGTAGCATGAGTACACATACGTGTTGTAAAGTCTAGGGTGCTTCCTGTGACGGCCTGTTTGTTAAGCTCTGATGTCATGATTGCCACTAACTCACTCCGTGTCATAGCTGGCTCACAATGCATGAGTTATAAATCCATCTGGTGGCAAATAAAAACTGGGAAGTTTAATAATTAACTGAGTGAACAGAGGAATGCCACTGTGGTTGCATTCCAGCACACAGGCTTGGTTAACTTCAGCTAAGACTAGAAAGCAAAGGAACAACTACCCAAGGTAAAGTCACCTATGTCATACAAGAACCAGTTTAATGTTAGTCGATCTATTGGGTAAACACCAGGAAACATGCAGAGATCTTCAAAAATAATTAAATAAAAAGTATCCCATTATCTTATCCTATTCTAAAAATGACATAACCATGACATACATCCACAAACCTGTGACTGTTACCTCCACACCTCTGAATCACAGATAACTGCCAGGTGTTTTTGCACAGTTACAGCAAAACAGTAAAAAGCCACCATCACTGAGCACTGACATCTCAAACCAAGCAATTAAAATAAATAAATAAATAGACGCAGCCACACATCTTTGGCAGATACACCGACACAATCTTTAAAATCCATAGGTCAGGAGTGCCACCAAATTTCATGCGACTGTCTGGACCAACATAATCATACACAGTACACAACAGTTTTTTGTTTTTAACTACACTTGCATACTGTTAAAGTACATGCAAGTCAAAATGATAAATAAACCCACTTCTAATTGGGCCTCAAAACAGACCCCTTACTGGGAAGAAGATTTGCCAAGGATATCTCCATAATCCTAACACTGATTTAGCTGTTTGACTAATAAACAACGCTGCACAGCAGCAGGAACAGCTCGTTACAACCCTGAGAGAAGTGAACGAGACTAAAGCGATGTGTCACAATCTTATCAGTTTCTAGCCCAGAGATAACCAAGGAGGGAGCAACGAACACAGCATTCTCATTTTATACACATTAATGGTCCAAATCTGTGGAAATGGACTTAAATGATGCAGCAAAACTTTAAGATTTATAGCAAAGTATGCCAAAGACGCCCCTTTCAGAACCACTGGACTGATCAATCAATGTTCTTTCAATGAAGCCTTAACAGCCACCACTAATTCTATTAGCCCAAATAATGTCAGTACAAACAATTCAGTTACTGAAACAATTAGTCTGCTTTATTCTGAGACATTTTAATCAACGGTATGATTATTCAAGGTTGATTTTCATTTCCAACAATACACCAAAGCATATCCTTTACATTAAAATCTGAGGAGTCCAGTTATATGCCTTGGAGCATTTTTGAGTTTTCCGTTTCCCACTTGGCAAGTTGAAGTCAAGTTAAAATCCCCAGGAAATAATCTGCACTCATCTATCCTCCACGCATGGATGAAGTTACATTCTCAGTTGCAAGCGAACTGAAACTTGTCAAGTGTTTACAGGTAGGCATTTGGTTTGGTGTGATTTACCTGCCGGTAAAACATATTTTTCTTGTTTGTAATATTTTTTGAACAACTTTACATCCTTGAGGACAACTAATTAACAGTTTCAGTAAAAGAATTTCATTGTGTATAAGCATTCACATTAATAGTACAATTACAGATATTCTACATTAATCCAAGTTAACGCACATGGACGTTTGTAGGTTTTATGAAGAATGTCATTAGGACAAAAAAAACAAAAAACAAACAAACTTACTTTACTTCATGGAAAACTCAAAAATCCAACCAGTGAAAAGTGTCCAACAGAATTCCCAACCTGAACGGAGATACACAAAACCTGAGCCGCACAGAATCTGGGCAGGAGCGAGAGACTCACCGCTAAGAAAGCGCTGCTTGCTGAAGAGGTGTGGCCTCGGACAGCGAGGGCTGAACACTTGAGATGGTATCACATAACTCGACTCCTGTGTGAGCTTGAAACTGTGTCAACAACAATGACCAACACACCGAGAAATTACAAGTCACTTCATGCTCTTATCAGTCCACGTACAGATGGGTGGGGCCATCTTTGACTGAAACGTGCGTCTCATGACAAATGCAATATCGATTGGCCCCCTGACAATAACACTTTAATTCATTGATAAACAAATTGTTAAAAAATAAAAAAAATAGACGGTAGACTTTTTTTGTTATTAGCCAAAACAAAAAAGCAAAAACATACTATTTTCATGCTCAAAAAATTGCAAATTTCTGTTCTCACATTTTATAGACCAAAAGATTAATTAGCACCAAAGTCATTCAAGAGATTAATCACGAGCTCATTATTTATTAGTAAGTTTATCCTTATCAGCAGCCAGATTGCAGCAGTCAAAGATCCTGGTTCACTGTGATTTGTTTAAGGGCTGGAAATTTGTTTGTGGGACAGAGCTCATATCTGGTTTAAATGACTCTATGACTTCATAACTGCATTTAAATGACTCGCTCACAGAGTTGGGCTCCTATTTTCTCACTATGATCATTATAAACTATTCCTAATAACTGTGAGAGTTTGAGGTAGTACAGACCAAAGATGAGAACACCAGAGTCAGTGCATGTTTACTGCCATCTCCTGGTTGATTAAAAGCAGAGAAAAAACAACAACACGCAATCATGAATTTAAAACTTTACTAGCATAGATTTTTGTGTGTCCCCTTAAACTTCCCCCACCTGTCTACCTACTTCCGGTCTACCCATACAGAGGCTTTTTTGCATCCACTTCTTTCTTCCTGCACTGAAAAGAGGGAAACAAATGGTACTGGCATAGTTCACGTGATTTACAGAGCACCTGCTTTGCATGGTTCACATTCATTCTGAATCTCAATATTCAGTTTGGCTTTCCAGGAATGTTGGTGCTCAGACACCCGCAAAAAGGTCCAGCAATTCCCAGACACTCGGGGATCAGATCTCAAATGACATGGCACCGAGAAAGCAGCAAGGTTTTGGTTCAGTGACTTCTACACTTAAGACTTCACACTGTGAGCACTACTCAACACATTTCACAGATACTAAGCCATGTCAGACTTTCAAGTTTGCCTTTGACTAGGTGGGTTTTTCTGCACTGAAGATTTCTGAGCACCTCAGACCCAGGAAAAATACCCTCCTTCCATTTAAATGCTTTTGCTCATTTAGGATTCATTTAATCAAGTATAATCTACATTTTTATATATCAAATGATCAGAAATAACAGGAAAATGCATAGATTTCTGTTTAAGAAATAAGTGGTAATTATCCTTTCACGTGGAAAACTGCATACACAAACAGACGATATTTGGTGTCTCCTTCAAAAACAAAAGCTAAATGATTTTTAAAACACAATTCTTCTTATTTCCTATCTTATTCATAGCCTTTTCCTTTTTTTTCTTAGGTCACGAGCAGTTGTCCAAGCATTTCACTACATATCGTACTGTGTATGACTGTGTACGTGACAAATAAAATTTGAATTTGCAGTATCAAAAGGTTTAAGCCTATTAGGTAATGCAGCCTAATAGACTTCAAATGTTTTCTAAATGGGAATTTCAGGAAATCTAGTTTCTCATGTGGCTCAACTGATCAGACAGGTCTTTCTGACAGTTTGCCCATCCCATTTATTTTAAGGCTAAATAAATATGAGTTCAACAGCCTTTTTTATGGTTTATTATAGCACTAGATGTATTAGTTGTATGACTATATTAAGCTATATTAGATGCATTAGTTTGACCTAATAATAATACAAATAAAGGTTGTAGTTGGGAACAGTGCTTACCACCTACTTCAGTGAGCTGAGATTTTGTCTTTTTCAAAGCGCATTCATAAACAGTATTAAACATGGGCATAGCTTCCAGGTCTGCAAAGTAAAGGCAACATGGAATTCCCTTAAATATGTATTCATTTTAACTTCCACCAGTGACCTTGACTCCTATAGACATCTATGGGAAACATCACCCCAACATCAGTAAACATATGAGTTTATGGGTTAAGTCACTAATTTCATGTCATACTGAATAAAGCACGAAGTTTAGTTTGGATAAATAACCCCCTGGCTATTTACTTACTGAGAAGCCAATAAGTGTGTGGTTTCTCATCGAATCGGCTTTCAAAACACCAAAATAGTGACATCATCATCTCGAGGCTTTAAAACAGGGCTTCAGAAACCACTGGTTGATGTCATAGAGGGTTAGCGTTTTCACAATACTAGAATTACAAACTCGATACCGATACACAGGAAAACACTCGACACTCAACAGCATTTTTAATACCACGACAAAGATTTTGTTCCCCTTAAGCAAAAACAGAAGGAATGAACTGATATTTAGAAAGTGTTCATTTTTTAATGTTTAATTATCCAAATTATAAGTTAGATTGAACAAAATTAGTATTTAAGATTACATTTTAAAATTGGAAAACTTCATTAGAGATCATGAAGTTAAATATATTTTAGAACCTACTTAGAAAAAAAAGGTACAGAAAACAACACAACACCTAACATTTAAAGTGTGGTGTTAGTTGTGTTATGTTCACTGTGAAAGACTGACCACTCCCTGCATTTTAAAACTGACCTCACAGCTAGCTACAACAAAATAACAAACATTTTAATAAATTATTGTAAAGGAAAAAAAGTCAAAGTTAATCATCTTGTCCACGTGTGCCTGCAGCCTGTCATCCACCGTTCACATTGCTCTGTCTCAGTCTGCATCTTTTTACATCCCCAGCTCTGCTCTTCAGGCATGAGACCTGTCTGATTCTGCTGTTCTGCTCTGGATTTCACTCTTTATTTCTACTTTGATTTCCTCGCTGCTCTGCACAGCAAGCAACCGTCCAGGTTCCCAATGACAACATGATGATAATGTCGCTATCGGGCAATTGCTAACAGTTAAATGGATAAAGTGTGCACAGGCCAGGTTAACATTTCTAATAACAGTTTAATACTTCACTGTTGTTGAAACAGAAGCTTTACTGATCACTGAAATTCCTGTGTCTGTCATCCAGCAGCAGTGAGGTGAAATTGTACAGCTGCAAATGGCGATCTTAATTGGATATTAATTTTAGTATCTATTAATATGAGGCTTTAGATTTTTTTTTTTTGGTCAAACCTACAGTGGGTACGCCCATCTTTTACTTTATATGTGTGCACCTCATTTCTTCATAGAAATGGCTTTTTCCCTATTGCATGTTTAGTTAAGATTTACTCACTTAACAACTGAAAATACACAATATTTAAGGCTCAAGGAAAATCAAAGGTCAGTTATAAAGTTAAATGAATGCATCCATAGTTAATGAGTAAATAATGCCATGAGAATAATGATCAAATTAGTAGTGATGAAGCATCCCTACCTATTACCAGCGCCTGTTAGTACAATACAGCAGCACATTATACAAAAACAAAACAACAACAAAACAGCATCAAATCATATACAAGAAATGAATTCATATTTTTTTAAGTACTCGTGTAAAACGCTACTGTTAAATTCTAGGATTCTCACAGGTTTTCCAAGACCGTCTGAGCCCATATAATACCCCGCACTGATCTGGGAAACTACAGTTAAGAGGAACTGAGAGAAAGCTGTAAATGAGAAATGTTTAGCCACATTTTAACACCTAGTCAAAGATGCAATTATAGTGTAACATTTCACAGTCAGAAGCGCATTAGTCACATCGCAGCTGTCCACCAACAGTGTGTTTAAGTCCATCATGCTTGATGTGATGACTAGTAAAACTGTTTCCCACAAAGATACCAAACACACAGCATCCAGAGTTATGGTAGCCAGTTGGTGGATGTCATCATGGGTAGTTTATATAAACCAGAAGTCCCAGAGAGACAGAGAGCAGGCTTTGTAAAGGAAACATAGCAGCTGGCAAAACAAATTCTTTAAATATTCTTGAGTCCTTTTTATAAGTGCATGGGCTAGACCGCCGCTGCCAATGCAGAATTATTAAGTGCCAGTCCTCAATACTTTAAAACATAAGACAAATGTGTGCCAGTGAAACACTTTTTAAGCTGCACTAATAAACCACAAACCCTAAAAAAAAAGAAAATCAAAAAAATAAAACGCACAGGAAGAGAATCCTGTTTCAAACCTTCACACTTCTCACTGCCTGCAGCCAACTTAAGCTTCATGTTGGTTCAAACTCCAACAAACTAACGTACATGTGAGAAAAAAAAAACCCTAAACAAAACACTACATGCACACTTTGGCAGAAGAAAAGTCCCTGATTTGATCACTGAACAATTTGTTTATCACATGCAAACCAAGCATTAAAATTGCGGCCGAGAGGGAACAAGCCTAACACATTAAAAACTACAATTAAAAAGATGAGTATACAGTTATGGTTAAAGAGGGAAAAACGTATACCCTTAGCAGGTAAAAACAACCAGCAACAAATGACATATTACACAGTGTCATTATTTATTTAACAAAAACCAAATTAAAATTGAGAAGCAATGTGTGGAAAAACGAAGTTCAACCCACGATTCAGTAGCTGGCAGAAGCACCTTTAGTAGCAGTAACCTGAAATTACTTTTAGTTTCTTTATGACTATCAGTCTCTCACATCGTTGCGGAGGAATTTTAGCCCACTTTTCTTTGCAATCTTTACAACGTGGCTTCCGTTCATTGAGTC